CTTAACCATTCTGACCTCTTAACTATTCTGCATAAATCATTCAGCAATTGCCAAACAGCCCCTTACTCTTCTCAACATAACTCTCATTTTGACCGGAACCCAACCCACGACTCCTAAGGATCAAATTAGCCGATAAATGGACATGTTTGATCCCTAAGAAAACAGTAAACCAAATATGAACATATTTTGTTATACAATTAAAACCCAAAATCAAGAACGCATACCTTTCGATTGCAAGCACAAAATCGACCCAAATTATTCCAGGATGATGTTCATAGAATGATCGGTCACAACGACCATGAGCCATCTTCTTCTGTTTTAGCTTATGAGCATAACATAAAGAATCTCATGGGACGATGCAAGAAATATTTAATGGGAAAAAGCAAACGGCAACCTTGGTTTCGGACCAAATATGTAGGTGCGTTTGCACTCTACGTACTAAAAAACATAAATTTACTCAATTTAATAGGGATCCAAGTACCGGCATGCAAAAATTTATTAAACTAACTATTCGACTAAAAATAGATGAGCTATTGATCAGAAACAAGTAACGGGATAAAATGATAACATTAATTAGACGAAAGCTCAAGCCTGCATTGTTTTGACACAAATATTAGAAACATAGAAGAACAACAGAGGACGATACCATAAACATATAGACCAAGATCAAGAACCCAAAATGTAGAGCCCAGTTCCTCTTAAACTTACCAAAATAACTGTCTGGTGGTTCTTGATAATGAATTTCATAGTCATCCCTCAGAACATCTTCACCTCCTCCAGCAACCACACCACTCATTCTCATCCTGATCTGGCAGAGCCGCTCGGTGGCTAGCCCAAGTGTCAGCTTGTGGCATCTCCTCTGATACTTAAACCCGTTGATACACCTGAGAGTCTGAGCCACTGAAACATAGAAGATGAGGTGGGAAAGGGAGAGGAGGCCAATGGGTACCCAGCAGTGGTGGCACTGGAGTCGAGAGGACTGGACCTGGGCCATAAATACTAGGGCCAAGAACAGGAAGAAGAGTTGGAAAAGCTTCCATAGCTCTTTCTTCTGTTGGTCCACGGCTCGTTTCTTCTCTAGGGTTTTCTCAAAATGAAGCTGTATTATGGTGTTCAGTGCTTGCAGGGCTGTTTCTTTTGGTATCGTATAGTTATGGTGGCTGCTCTCGTATTCTGCCATTGTAGTACAAACTTGGAAGTACCCGCAAGCCGTTGGATGGTCAGAAAATCTTCTGGGTTAAAGTATAATGGTCTGCATCAAGAAATATGGATGAGTTTAGGAGTGGTTTTCCCAAATCATCATCTGTTAATTGCATTAGTCAAAGACAGATGAACAACCAAGAGAATGTGTAATTGTGTATATAATTCCAAGAACATTTAGAGGCTGTTTGGTTCAGGCAAGAGAATGAAAATGAAAATGACAGGTAATGAAAATGGATTTTCATTCCCCTCAGTTTAACTTGGAATGGAAATATGGGCTTTTGGGGTAATGAGCTCATTATATTATATAAACCCAAAGAATTTCTTTTATATTTAATCTCATTAATGACCGAGTAATACATCCAACCAAACATCCCCTTAGATTTACAATTGAATGCTACATAAGAGCATTTCCAACGGGAGATTCTTAAACCTAATGGACCAGTTCTTAAATTTTTACATCATTTGAAGGAAGCATGTCATCATGGAAGGGCAGAGGTTCATAAACATGAATCAGTTCTTCACCAAAATGGTGAGACCCAATCCAATCAAATCATATAAAATAATTAGAAATTAAGTTAGGCACCGGTTCATGATTGGGGGTAGAAGGTTTATAAAATGCGTAGGAAAGAGAAAACTGACGTGACAGAGTAACGGACCTCTAAAAGGACTTGAGATGCCCCAAGATTAATGGTATCGTTATGCAATAAATGCTTAAGATGAAAGTCAACTCCAAAATCGGTTCTTTTTAATATTTTCTTTTATAAATATTCACAAGAAACTTTATACTACCTCTGTCCAAAGGTACATTAATGCATAATGAATCACTGATCTCTCTGTCCTCCTTGTTACATTTATTGGTGTACATTCACTTAATTTATAGTTATTAACCTACTACTTTATGAACCAATAGTCAAATAATTTATCTGACATTGCAATTTTCACGAGATTATTCTATTTAGCATCAACTAGTTACAAATTCATAGAATAAACCACCGTTTAATCAAACATTTAGTGTTCGCGAGCAACAGTCGCATCTTCCACCGACCAATTCCATATCCAAAAGCTTACAAAATCACAAAAACATAACTGAAACAAGAGAAGAAAAACGACATAGAACATACCTGGTTTCAGCAGGCACTTCCAATCCTGACCTCAGGCACCCAATTAACAACTACGAGGTAACACTTTCCTGCACCGTGAACAAGAGAGTTCAATTACAGAGAGTTGAAAAGTTAAACTACATTCATACGGGATCCCAAAGATCCGAAATGACAAACGTATCGATTCATCAAAAAGAAATTAAATTAAGTTCAAAATGAACATGAACCCCTGTCTGCTTTCATCATCTCTTCATCTATGTGTATGTGTGTGTGTGTGTGAGAGAGAGAGAGAGAGTACCAGGTTAGAGGAGAGCAGCTCCACCATTTTCAGTGAGAGTGGGAGTGAGGGATGATGAACTTAAGGTGGTATATTCGATAAAGAAGAAGCCCTAGTTTCAATTTGGGATATTCAAAATTCTTTTGCATCACATTGTAGTCCCTGAATTATAATGTATTTCCAAAATTTGTCTCTCAACTATTAAAAATTTCAATTATAGTCCTCAAAATACAGATAACTTCATTGTATAACCTACTTTTAGGGGTGTACACAAAACCGTCAACCTCCAAAACTCGTTCAATCCAACTCACCAACAACCCAATTAAACCCAACCCACAATTAGGAGGGTTGAAATTGGGTTGGGCCTAATTCAAGTTGTCCAACTTGCCGCTAATATATATTTTTTATAAAATTATATATATATATATATATATATATATATTAATAATGTGTAAAATTTTATATAATTTTTATTGAGATTATGTTTATATTTCGTTTAGCTAAATGTATAGGTTACTGAAAGAAATTCACGATCAAAGAACGATGATTAATAATCTAAATAATAAAAGAAAATTATTGAAACCATTTTTTGCAGCAACAATAAATTGATATGTCGGAGAATATGAATGATATTGAAAGATATTTAGTTGACGAATCCATCAATTGAAAGACTCCGTTATGTTGTACTTTAGTGGGGGGGGGGGGGAATGCTTAGTTGTATCATTTCACTATAATAACATTAGGTTTTATATGATGCCTAAAATGTCTAAGCGTCCTCATATGATACTTTGTAGGATGAAAAACAAGAAAATGTCTTGCCTAAAAGAGTTGCAATATGTTTATAGAACGATTTTGGGTGTCTTAACAAAATTTTATGACGTTTTTAAAATAAAGTGTCGTATAAGTTATGTTATACTACACTACTTGAAAAAGTGTCATCTGAATACAAGTGTACTATAAATAGATGAGTTTACGGGACACCTCTCAGGATGTTTTTATAAAATAATTAATACGACATTTTATTTAAAGTTAATTCTAAAAAGCTTGTTGAAATGTCCAAAAACGTCTTATAAACCTATTATAACATTATTAGATAGGACGTTTTATAGTTTGGTCCTACAAACTTAAGTTTTATGAAGTATTTCATTCGTCAAATTTATGTAACTACTAACCCGCCAACCTAACCCAACCCGTCTCAACCAGTAAGTGTTGGGTTGTTTTGGGTTATACTTTTGAATGAATTGGTTTGGGTTGAGATTTTTTAAACCACCATGATTGAGTTGGGTTATAAAAATGTTGTAAACCGCACAACCCAATCCATGTACACCCCTACCTACTCCAACCGTAAGACTGCATTTGCTACATGAGACTGTAAATAACATAACATAAAAAAAACTCACTATTTCTCATTCATCACGACATAGACATGACAAAAACGCATTGTTCTACGTCTGGCGTGGCATGGGATAGCGACATGCACAAGGTGAGATTAGATGCGACAAAAAAAACATTGTTTTTGTTCAATCAAAATAGGTGAAACAATAGTGAGACGATACTATAAATCATCTATCTACCCTTATCTGATATAACTCTAATATGATATTTTGTTTAATTATCACTACCTACCCTTAGCGGCTATTAGTGGCCGCCGCCAACCGCCTCTATAATGACCACATCTACCCCCTACACAACCACCACTTCCACCTCTGTATCCACTACTACCGGTGGCTGCCACCATCACCATCACCATCTTCATGTCATCTACTAGCCATCGTTGCTTCTATCTCCACCATTACTGCTTTTGTCATAATCACCACCTCCTCTTTTACTACCATTAGTAACCACCATATAAAAATCATTAAACAATATTTAGAGGAAACTTGTTCAGCCTTGTCTTATCTAGTCCTAGTCGTACCAACACAAAAGAAAACAATTTGTCATGTCTAGTCTCGTACTATTCTCTTGTCCCGTCTTGTCTTCACCTGTCCAGTCCAATCAGTATTCTTCTCTTGTTCTGTTTGCTCTCGTACTGTTTCCTTGTCTTGTACACTCCAATCATGTTCATTCAAAATTTTAGAGTATTTTATAATGATAGATATTTATAGAAATAGTTAATACCAATACTTTATTATACGGAGGATCGTGTAAGAATAAAATTTAAGGTAAAAAGTATAAGAAGGAATTGGGACCCTTGATCACTTTTAATTTAATCCCAAAACAACCCATGAATTGCGTTTTAGCAGATGATTGATCTAGTGTATCTTACTAGTGTTTAGTGGTTCCATTCAATTAAGATTGATCCAATGACAGACCTTTTCTTAACTTTCTCCTATAACTTTCATTCTCACTAAAAAACAACATATTTTAATAATGATTTTTTATAAGCATAAAAATAATTTTATAACAACTTTAACCAGACAATTAAGAATGCAAATGAATTGGTTTGATGTTGATTTGGTTGAAACAACGAACGAAACTAATTTTGCTTGATTTAAATTTTCTCAACCAAACGATGAAATTCGTCAAATCAAACCAAAGAGAGCAAATGTGATTTGGTTTAGTTTCGTAGTTTAAACAAAAATTGATCAAGTTTTTTAACCTTAAATTTTGAACACTGTTATAAAATACACTAACGTCATTTAAGAATCTATTAGAAGGGTACTTGTACAATGCAGTGAAATATATCTCGATTTTATTGTTTTCTTTTATTCTTTGTCTATTACGGTTTTATATGGTTTTGAGAAAAATGATAATGTTTTTATTTTTGAATAAAATATAAATTTGAAGATTTTGTAATTAAAATTTTGAAGAAAAAATATTGATATTAGTATCAAATTAACTATTTAAAGGTTCTCGTTTTTTGTGTAATTTATTTGATTCAATTTTTTAGTATAATTTAATCTAGGTCTAACAATGAATAAAATTTATTTTTGGTTTAATAATATAATCTTTTATAAA